AGCAGAACGTGTTTCCCATCAGAAAGGGAGGTGGAAAGAGCTGGTGGAGATGAGTCCAAAACGCGGAGTGTGGATGACTGGAAGGGCAAGTATTTTAAAGACAGAGCAGCCAGGAGGAGGGCTGGTATTTAAGATGGGGAGAGGCCCCTTTTAGGAGGCGTCTCCCTCAATGGAGAGGCTGCAGCAGGGCTGGCCGTCCAGGCAGGGGCGGGAGAGTAGAAATAAGTCTGCAGGCCCAGGGGGTGACTCAGGACAGAAGAAATCACCAAGGGAAAAATATGTGGAAGGAAGTGAAGATGAAGGATGTGACGTTGGAACAAGAAGGAGCTAGGAAAGAGGCCACCCCCTCCACCCCCAACCCCCCCACCCCCGTCATGGCCAGGCCGGGGAGAAGTCTACAGAAACAGAAACAACTTGGAAGGGCTTCCCAGGACAAGAACTGTGGCACATTATCCTCACAACCTGCTGCCTTAGGAGAAATAGCCAGAAAAATGCTATGAGTGTTTTTGAAAAACCTAGTTCCACAAGCTGTGTGCTATTCTTCATTGATTCATCTTCACGTCCCCGCTGGAAGAAAGACATCGCTATGGTCCCCGCTTCGTCAACAGGCAGAGCAGAGGAGATAACTGATCCACGCTCCCCGGGCTGCAGTCTATTCCTGGCGGGGGGCTCGCTCCTTTCTAGGGGTGGCAGGATACAGTAGTTATCTCCCAAATGGGTGCACTGACAAGTGGTAACAGCGCTTCACAATTAGCAAAATCTCCATTTACCCCCAGAGCCCTCCTTTTCAAAACACCTTCCCGGTTATATTGTAAAACCAGGTCTTTTAGAATTAAGGCAAAGTTCCTAAAATAAGCCTCACAGAGTGAGAAACATTTAGGATGTCACATTCATGTGGATATACCAAATTATGCTTAATTGATAATGTCTTACAAAAGGTACAAGACACATCAGCAAGTATTTAAGGGTTTGGTGAATCTCAGAATGCTTTTGAAATTTTGATGGCATGTTATACATTTGAAAATGCCAAAGAATGTTCCCAGGGCTTCCCTGTTGTCTTAGTGGAACTACCTGCGTAGGTCTCACCAGTTTCTAGACACGCTGCCCACCACAATTAAACTCACAGTTGCACTCGGCACTACAGATTTTGGGCAAGCTTTGCCAAGAAGTAACATCGCTCTTTCACAGCAAAGACTATCACATGATTTATGGCAGGAGCTACAAAATATTCTTTTCACCAAAATGGCTGGCGAATACCTAAGAATTCAGCGAAATCTCATTTACTGCATGTTCCAAAGGACTCATAAATGAAAACACAGTATAGGTAGGACACGAACCAAGATACCAAGAATAAATACTACAGCGTACTAAGCAAAATATTATAAGCGTATTTCACTCCAAATGAACGAGATTTACTAGCTACAATAACTCCAAGGCTGCTGCGGGGAGGTGGGGGTAGACAATGAACACATCCTCCGTAGGAAAATATTTCAACGACACACACCTTCATTCCAGTGAAATTACATCAATGTGGTCTAACAGCATCTCTCTTTATGTTTTACTTATCAGTTAAGCTGTAGCTAAAGATTACTTACGCCACAATAAAAATTCAATCTCCACTATCTTTACTTTTAAAGGTTACAAATAAAGACGTGCTAATCTGTACTTTTTTTTTGCCCCGGGGAAGTTGCATTGATGATGCCTGTGTGCCAAGAAGATCAATAATTAGCAATTTTTAAACATAAGCTGCTGTTAGTGAAGCATTTCAAAAGTAAACTTATTTCCTCAGGCAAACTCACCACTTCCGGTGCATAACCACGGGAAGGGTGGTTTAAAAAAAAAAAAAAAAGACTTGTGCAAAATGAGTCTGGCTTCTGCCTTGATCTTCAAGCACTGACTTGAAGTCTCATCTTCTTGGAGAAACGACGGTTGTTCTGTGCTGCTCTGTGGGATGGAGCAGAAGCTTAAGTTCCTCACCAAGCACTGACTTGGCAAATGTATTTAAATTTCATAATAATTCAATCCACAAACCGGGAATGCCTATCTGGTCATGAAAACTCCCAGTCTCCAGGGTACCTTGCAAGGCTTTAGCTCAGCCACAGGAGGGCCACCAGCGCAATCTGCGGAAAGTGCCGATCCTAAAGTCACTGCCAGGCCAGTGAGTCCACGACCCACCTTCCAAGTGGACTTCACACAAAGTATGTGGCCTGCTCTCACACTTCCTTGGCTAAAGAGACTCCATAAGCTGCTTCAGTGATGCCAACACTGGTCAGAGGAGCCTTCCTTTGAGCAGTGGTGGAGAACTGGGCAATTCTGCGCCCCCTCCGCACCCCACATCTTCTAGCAATGTGCTGGGGAGTCTTCATCAGCCAAGGATGCTGCTAAATACCCTGCAAGGGCAGGACAGCCTCCATGACAAAGAATCGAGAGAGCCAGCACACGCCCTCAGATCACGGATCAAATGGCGGGCAGGGGACCGCATTGGACACGCGACGGCGGTCTCAGTAGTGAGGACGGCGGGTACGTCCCCATCATCTGGAAACCCCGTATCTACACATCACCATGCGAGCCTGACAATTTCCCTTTCTGAACACCTACTCCCTCTCCCTCCCCACTACAGTGTTTTCTGGAGCAGCCCACAGTTGGTTGGGTTTTGCTTTTGGGTTTGTTTTTTTTTTTTTCCCTGCGTGGGTATTAAAAATAGCATGAAAAGCAAGTTGGAAGACATGAAAATAGTAAATAACCTAAGGTGCTTTCCATCCCGGAAAGTCTATGATTTAACAGGACTTAAAAGGTTTGTAAATCAGATCTGGAACTTGAAAAGAAGTCGTGGGCAGCTTAAAGAAACAGTCCCATGAATAAATAAACATCGAAAGTTAAATAACCATCAAAAGAATATGGGTAAAGATCTATCTACGAACTGCCCAGAACCTGCTGAGGGGCAGGGAGTGAAAGGCAGCTGGAGTGTTGCTTCTTCTAACTGCGCTGGCCAGCAAAATGTGTAGAGACTAAAAAAATTAACATTTTCACGCAGCTTAAGAGATTACAGAGTATTAACATACACATCAGAAAAAAGTCCTCAACAAATCTTAATGACAAGCAAATCTCAAGCTAGAGAAACCTTCCCGGTCGATATGGAATTGATAAATAAATTATGGCCCAAGCAGACATTACATAGCCATCCCCGATACACGCTCAAAATGTCAGAAGGGAAGACAGATTATAAACCACATGTACAAGCGCAATCCTGTGTGAAACATAAACACATAGAAGTGAATAAATATGTATAAATAAATACACACAAACACAGCGAGAGACAGGAAGGAGAAGTCCACCAAGTGTGTGCGCAGTTATCTGAGGAGAGGGAGGCTTAGGGCTCATTTCTGTTCTTTCTTTGTGATTTTTCTCTGTTTTACAACACGGAGAACCTCTTGCTACGCTTCCTACTTACACAAGAAATACATTATTACAAAGTGTTTCGGGAACTGTGCACAAGATGAAAAAACAAATCTGCACACGCCGACTTTTCTGTTCATCACCTTCAGACCCCACAAAAGCAAACCTTTCTTGGGCGCTGCTGAAATGTGCCTGTCACTTCTGCAAGGGCCTTAAGTATATCAGCTTACTGAAATCAACCCAAAAAAGATACTTGGGATAAAGACAGCCTGCGACACCAGCAGCTGTGGACCTGTGTTCACCCCACCAGGAGTTTCCATCTCGGTCGTCACAGCTTGAAATGAGGGGCGGTTTCATAAAACAAAATCATCTCTGCGGGTCCTCTCCGGGCTCCACCGAGAAGCCACGTGCAAAAGAATGCGGTCAAATAAGTGTTTGCGAGGAAGCATCTAGAGAATGATGGGGCAGCTGCATGCCATCTCAAAAACAAAACCCTACTAAAAAAAGAACATGTAATTATGTGTCTCTGTTCCTCCGCCTTAATATTTGTACAGCAATGTCATAACACGTTGAGAAAAGGGCCTCGTTTCCCCAATACTTGGACACAACTGGCGAAACGGATGTGAAGTCTCGAGCAGAATCACCGAAGGGCTCAGCTTGCTAAACGCTGCGGCTGCTTTCAACAATAAACCTGTAGTGAACAAAAACTAAGCAACACTGGGGTCGCGTCTGGGTAGGACCTTGTCAGTGTCTGATGAAAGGGACTCGAAGGACCCACCCCAGGGGACCCCCGAAGGGCGCTGCTGCACCTCGCAGAAAAATAAACCCCAATAGAGCCCCGAATGTCCTCTGCGGGGGAGTGACCGCTGCTGGGTGCAGGGAACTGCGGCTGCCCGGGGACCAGGCAGCATGGGCTCGGGGGGCCCTACAGCTGGCGGCCAGTTGGGGGGTCACTGGGTCACGCGTGGGGTGCACGGAGAGCTGGAAAAGCGCTGACCTGTTGGGCTACTCCACATGTCCCGCGCCACCATCACTGCGAGGTTCGTGGGCATCTTTAGTGGCAAAATTAGCCCCACCTAAGCGCACGGCTGCTGGGAAGGACAACGCGGGGCGCGCGGAGGATGAGGGCCCCGGGGCGCCCAGGTCTGGACACACAGAAACTACTTGGGAGACACAAAGACGCAAGACACAGGACAAATGCAGAAGCCAGGGTGCGAGGCACGCACATCCCCCCAACACAAAAGCGGAACGACTGGAGACCCGGACGGCCCCGCGCGCCCCGGCTGCCCCCGCGGGGTCCCGGCCGGACTCCCCGCCGCGCCCCCCGACCCCTCGCCGGGCGCGCGGCCAACCAACGGCGACAAAGCAGACCCCGCAACTTCACCGCCGGGGCCTCCGGCCGGGCCGGGGTGCTCGGCGCGGGCAGGGAGGGACCCCGGCCGCCCCTGGCCGCAGCCGCGTCCCGGGGACCCCGCCGGCCCGGGGCGCCCGCACCTCTGAGGGGCGCGTCCGCCCGCCCGCCCCGGCCCCGCCGCCACGCTCCCCGCGGGCCGGACGGGGTCCCCGAGCCGCTCCCGCCGCCGCCCGCCCCCGCCGCCTCGTACCTGCGCCCGCCGCACCCCGCGCCTCAGAGCGCCGAGAGCCGCCGCCCGCGCCGCCGCCGCCGCTCCGCCCGCCCCGGCGCCCGCGGCCGCGCCGCCGCCATCTTGGCCCCGGTCGGAAGTGACGTCGGGCGGCACCGGCCGCGGCCTCCCCGGCCCGCGCCCGCCGCGCCGCGCCCTGGGCCGCGACCCCCGGCCGCGCGCCCCCTCCGGCCCCCTCCGGCCCCCGCCGCCCCGGCCCGGCCCGGCCCGGCCGCGCGCCCCCTGCGCCCCGGAGCCACGCACCCCCACCTATCCCTGGCCGCGCGGGCCAGGCCAGCCCCCCGCCGCGCACCCCGCCCCCCCGCCGCGCCCCCCTTCACCCCCGGCCGCAAAGGCCCGGGCCGGGGGTCGCAGGAGCCCCGAGTGGCTGCCGATGCCCGCCGGACCACATTGGTCCCCGTCGGCGGCCCCTTAGAGGAAACCCCCGCGGCCCGCAGCGTCCAGTCTGAGCGGCCAGGAGTTGGGGTGCTGCGCGATTACAAGGGACCCCAGGAACCCACAGCTGAGAGGCGGGGAGAGAAGGAAAACGGGTTCTCACTAAATGGCCCTCAAAGGACTCAGCGTAGACATCCCCACCTCCACCCCTTGCTTGTCTCAGGGCCAGTTTAACTTCCTAAAGGATCAAATTCCAAAAGGGCAGATGCCACAGGGTTCATTTGCTCGTTCACAACCGGCCAGTGTGCCCGGCTGCCCTCGTGCTGCGGCGCCGGCTGCCGCTCCCGCATGGACATTGGCCTTGTCCAGCGGAGCTTATTTACAAATGAAGCAAATCCGACGGCCTGGGTGACAACGAATGAAGGGTTTCATGGAAATGGCCTGGGCTGAACTGGAATTGTCTATCTGACATCAAGGGGAGATGTCTAGCCGGCAGTTAGAAAGGCGTCAAGTTAGGGCAGGAGGTGCAGAATGGGGATGAGATCGAAAATAAGGAGTTGTCACACTGGGTGGTACTGACAGCCATGAGCACTTCAAGATAAATGCATGGCCTGAGCATGAAGTCAGTAGAAATCTAAATGTCACAGGAACATTAGCCCTCAATGGAAAGAAACCACCCTAAAAAAAAAAAGCAAAAAAAACCAGACACTAAATTAGATGTGGTTGTGCCTGAGAAACTTATAAAGGAGGACACAGTCCATTTATGTAAGTAGGAGTGAATGTTAAGAAAACATGTCAAGTCGATAAACAGTGACAGGGTCAGCACGAAGGCTAAGAACAACCAAAAAAATCAAACCTCAAGAACTTGCGCTTTTCCTCTGCCGCTCAGGGGAAAGAGACCTAGGATGCAGGTCAGAGTGGCCTTTAGACCTTTCCATTCTTTACCTAGTCCATGCCTCCAAATATAATCCATGCATCAAAATCATCGGGATTCTCTGCAAAAACAAAGGGAGATGCCATCATTGAAAACACTAACATATAAGTCAAGATTTTAGAAGAAAAGCTATATACCGGCAGGCATTCAGTAGAATTGCGAAGGAAAATAAAGGACCATTAAGTCTGAAGTGACACGGTGAACCAGAATTTATGCCAGATAGCACAATGCAAGACAGGGTTGACAGAGTAGTCTGTGGTTGTCCTCCTGACATGATCTATTAGAAAGAATTAACCTATAGAAATGTGCTCAGACTTCTTGAGGCCAGAAGTCCAAAATGAGTATTACTGGGCCAAAATCAGGGCATCAGCAGGGCCATGCACCATCTGGAGGCACTAGGGAGAATTGGTCCTCACCTCTTCCAGTTCCTGGTGGTTGCCAGCATTCCTGGGCTTATGGGCCCATCACTCCAGTCTTCAAAGCCAACATCTGCAAATCTCTCTCTGCTCTATTTTTTACATCACCTCCTCCTGCCTCTGTCTCCCTCTCATAAGGGAGACATTTGATTACATTTAGGAGCCACCCAGATAATTCAGGATAATCTCCCCATCTCAAGAATCCTTCATTTCATCACATATGGTAAGACCCTTTTCATATGGGGATTGGGACATGGAGCTATCTTTGGGGACCATTATTTGAACTGCCACACTGGGTACACACTCAGCACCTCTAAATCCTCCCTAATCAGCCATTGTATTTTTTTCATCTGTGAACTTTTCTTGATCATGTTTGTATTTTTCAAACTGTGCCACTTTTAAGGAATAATTATGTGTGTGTATGGATATATATTATCACTTTAATACAAAAAAGATATGAACTATCAAGAATACGATGTCATTTCTTGACTTTTTATTATCTGATGTGCTAATGACTATTCTTTTGCCTCTTTGAAAAAGTGAATAAATCGCTAAAGGAGGAGAGAAGGAATTGAGATATTTTTGTCAAATCTTGTAGGCCATTTCTCCATCAGGGATTGAAGTATAAAATGCACTCTTTGTCTAAATCTACAATATGGGGCCTCCCTGGTGGCGCAGGGGTTAAAGATCATCATCACTCTATCGCCAGTCACTGCAACACAAGTTCAGTTCCCCAGCCGGTCAGGGAGCTGACCCACATGGCACAGCAGACCTCTCTCTCCTATCTTGCCTACTGCTCCCCTTAGCAGTATATTTCAATAGATCTGCCTGTTCTGCTCCCCACTCTTTCTCTGGTGAATCCTCTCACCCCCCACACCTCTTGCCTACACCCCAGCTCTTATATGCATAAATAAATCCATCTTTAATAATAATAATAATGCTATTAATAAATCTACAATACGAATGAAACACCACTCTACACAAATACCCTAATACAGGTCCTGGCCATTGTTGTGCCTTGGCATACAGTCCTGTGACCGAGGACATGACCAGCATTCACCACATCCCAGACCCAGAGTAGTGTCTGACATACAGTAAACACTAGAGAGATTTTGGAGAAAGACCTCTTCTCCTTGGCTCTTCTGATCCAGCTGGATAAGAGCGAATATGTGCAAACCAAAGACACTGTGCACTTGATAGGCATGTGTGGTCATGAACCACAGAGCTCCTCAGCACAGCAGTGAGGAGACCCACAGCATTGCTCCAAACAAGATGAAAGATTATACAACCAAGAGTAAAGACTTGACAATGCATTGTCAAAGGAATGTAAGTGGACTTAAAATGCCCTGAATGGTAATAGTTCTTCTCCACCAACTTTGAAGTATTTTTCATGGACTATCAGGCCCATGGGCGAAGAGCAGATTGAGTATGTTCTAGCAAATGCATCCAAGAAGTGCCCTTTTGTTCAAGTGACACATCCCTTACCTTTTTAAAAACAGTCCCCTTTCCTCATAGCTGCAAATCATTTGCAAAGAGACCCAGAGCTGCTTCTCATTTCTTCACCCTCCTCACCCCTCTGCCACAATGTTGACCCAAGCAAGGAATGACATTTGAGCAAGCACGCCAGCATCAAAGATTAGAAGCCTGGATTCTGGGTTCTGATTACGGATGAACAAGCAAAGTTCAAAAATAGCAACTCCTGGGGCTAAAGATCTATCTTGCTGCATCAAGGACACTTTGGGCTGCAAAATTTCAGTGCCCAAACTTCTGCAGCCTCAAAATGCATGGATGAATCTTAGCAGGGGTGAGGTTTCCCGTAAGGAGGAGATAATCTTCCTTGAGTGTCATCTGCACTGACATTTTGTCTTACCTGCTCGGGTAATCTTCACGGTAGCAACAACCAGAGCAGCAGCTGTTATACAGATGGAGAAGCTGACACATGGTTGCTGAGGACACAGCTTGTCAGCTCCATGGACAGGATTCAAGGACTCATCCCGGGTCAAAGTCCACCACTGTCCACTGGCCACACCGCTTCCCAGTCATGAGGTGCTCATGCCTGGCAGTTGAGGCACTAGAGAGAATACAACGGGCCAAAGACACCACCTTTACCCTCCAAGACCCTGTATCTCAAGGGCAGACTGGGCTTGCTCAGAGGCACAGCAGAGCAGAGTGCAAACCAGCCTCCCATTCTTACGCTCCCCGTGAGTTCCTTGAGGGTCTGTGCCCCGTGTCTTTGGTATTGTATTTTTCAGTATTACTTTTTTATTTTTAAATGATTTATTTTTGCTAGAAGAATTGGGGTGTAGGTGAGAGGTGGAGGGGGTAAGAGGATTCACCAGAGACAGAGTGGGGAGAACAGTTGGATCTACTGAAATACACTGCTGAGGGGAGCAGCAGGGAGACAGGAGAGGTCTGCTGTGCCATGTGTGCTCCCTGCCCAGGGTTTGAACTCAGTGCATGGTGGTGACAGCACTGAGACTTAACCCCTAGGCCACCAGGGAGGCCCATAATATTACTTTTAAAAAGAAGACAATAGACTGCAAGATGTTAACTAATCGATTCAAATCCATGAGCCTCACAATAAATAAATTCCATCCTATAAGAAAACTCACAGCACTGTTTCTATAGTTTTCCTTCACGTTTCTTCTGCCACATTTTTAGAACCAAACATTAAGACATCGGTTAAAGGGTTCAGTGTTTCCCACACAGACGTCCCCCCGCAGCAGCATTCACCCCTGTTTCAGAAGCTCCAATGGAACAGCCTCAAAGACCAGTGTGGTTTGTTCTAGAGAACACAAAGTGAGGCTTATTGAAGAGTTCATCTTTCTCCAAGGCAGAATTAATTCACCACCTAGTGCACCACCCGGAGTGCATGCATAAAACATGGAGGTTGGCAACAAAGACAGAAAGTGAAAATATTTTTCAGCAGGCAAAATGGCAAGCAGCTTGAGAAGGGACAGAAGATAAATCAGTACAGGAAGAGACAGCACGGAGGCGGCACAGCCCCGACTTGCATTTTTTTCCCCCAGATTGCAGGCTCCTGCGTGTCCCTTTACAGTGGTGTCCAGGCACAGGTCAACCCCTCAAGCTACCCAGATGCCCTCACTCATCCAACCCAGGTATGGGTCACAGGAGCTCATGATTCTCACTGCTGCCTCTTGTCCTGGTAACGCTTTTCTTTTTACTGTTTTTTTCACCTTACCTTTTGTCTAGAATTCACTCAGCTCCTCTTCCCTCCTCCACCCACATTTTGCCTCTGCTCAAAAGCCAGT